GGACAGACGTTAGGAAATCAAACCTGGAAGCCAAATAGGTCAGTTTTGTTAAAAATAATCCAGCAATCCACTTCTGCCAGGGATGAAATCCCAATCCAGAATGTTCGTATGAGCTATTAGTATGCGCAACACAATTTCGATTTAGTAAGAATAGCAACCAGCCTCTAATACTTTCCTAATAAAACTACAAGTTCAAAAATGGCATCAACTTCTTCAGATTACCTACTTTTGGCATCGTGCTTGATCGTGCCACGTGTGGTGCCATGTGCTGTGCTTTTGTTATGAGAGAGCCTCCCAAAAAAAGACAAACGAAATTCACAGCTCACGTTTTGGTAATATGGTTTTATTAGGTCATTATCGTTTGACCAATGAAAAATCTTAATTTGACTAAAACCGTAATGATTCCAAAAGATTCCCCGTAATAGGCCCTTTAAACTAATGACGTAAGATATTGTTATTCTTTTGAAAAGTGAATAAAATAAAGATGCAAGGCGAACACCGCTCAGGGTCATATAATACCGTTTCAGCTTACGTTTACGTCATTAAATTTAACGCTACAAAGATGATATTCACAATCTTACCATAAAATTATGTGAGGCAGAAAAAATGAACATTCTTTTAGAAAAAAACTCCAGACTTTTGAATTTCCAGTTTGATTTTTTATTTATTTTCATTAAACTCGAAGGTAGAACGCCTAGCTCATTTGTTATTTGAAATGACGTCACGAGTTCTATTTAGATACTGAATAATCATTTTACGGTAAATATCCAAGGCCATTACAATTTATATTTCGCTTCCCATCGCTTCCGCACGATGTTGAATATTTCTATACTTTTGTTTATATCTCAGTTTATTTTATCAAATATTTCTTTCAATAGATTGAAATACCTCTACCTAACCAAGCCACATGTGTCAGTATCATCTTTTATTGTTTATCAATCAATTGTGGTAGCTGGAAACTGGAAAGCCTCATGGTTGTCTAATGCAAGATTGTCTTATCAATATCATTATGTAGATTCTAACATGAATTGTGATGTGGTAGGTACCTAGTTATGTATTGTTCATTAGTCATTACTTTGACTTACCTCTATGTTAATTGTTAATGCAAACTTTTTTGTTGGTATGTGAACTGTGAACAATCTTCATGTCACTCAATTCTCTCAAGTTGTGACCGTCATGAGCCTCCTTTATTTTGTATTCTGTATAATGTAACTGGATGCCTTTACTAATATGGCCTTTGTATAAGATTGTTTGTTTCTAACCATACTTTGGTATTCATAACTTCTTATGAAAGAAAGTTGTTAACATTTTGAGCACCTATGAGCTATGATCCCAATGGATCTCACGACAAAATTGGAGAGCCAGATCTATGATCCGAGTGGATCTAGCGACAAAATTGAAGGGTCAGATCTATGATCTCAGTAGATCTCTCGACAAAATTGAGGGGTTGGATCTATGATCTGAATGGATCTCGGATCGGGATCCATGGGATCGGATCTCAGATCCATTTTTCCGGATCCAAGCACATGTCTGCCAAGAACCTCACACGTTTTGACCAACATACACGGAGCACGATTTCCAATTTAACTTCCTCCTCCTCCATTCGGAGCGACAGATCGGCAGCCTCCTCACCTCAGTCGACCCAGAGACTGGGTGGCATATATAGGCACCTCGCCTTTTCGCAGTCACTCCATTGGAGTGGGCCTGCGACCGAGCCACTCTCACACTCGACTGAAGCCCGACCGGGCCGGGCCGTGGTAGGGTATGTCGTCACCGGCACCGGATCTGCGTCACTGGGTCCCTGTCAGTGCCGGAATTAACGTGAACCCCGTCCGGACAATGGCACCTAATGGGCTGAATGGGCTCAATGGCTCTGTTGAGCTCGTGTGTTTCACTGGGTTGGTGGGTTGATGGGTTGATTTACTTGCTCAGAGACAGGTAAACGGCTTCCTGTGTCTGGTTAGCTGTGATCACCGGATGATTGTCCACGACTGGGTGCTGTATTCCTGTCTGATATTCTCAAGAATAACAACTTACTTAACCTGACGGACATCCTGCCGGACAATGCGATGCGACTGAAGCATATCATGCCGGGAAATAACTGTACCATATGCGTCAGTGGACCGGTTTTAAAAGTTGAGCTTTGAAACATAACTCACAGTCTCATGTTTTGCCGGCATATCAGTGCTATCGCGATCACATCTGATCCACGCTGAACGGGGTTGTGCCCAAAACCGGACCGCCAACTCCGTTAGAAGGTCGAAACAGGGGCGTTCCACGACAAATCGACAAGTGCCCTGCACCCTCATATTTTATTTTTTGCTTAAAATTGGTCTAATGGGTTGTGATGGGCGGGGAAGCCAGCTGTGGGAAGGATTTTTTTCTTCGAACAACGGTTTCCGAGATATAGCCTCGGGCAATTCCTGGATGTCGCGCTGCAACCCTATGTTTGGCGGCCTATAACTCAAAAACTATTGATTTTCTACGATTAAAACCTGATATGGTTCAACTCACAATCAACCAACAAACATTTTGGCTATATCGGATTTTCAATTTTTGAAAATTTTGATCACGTGACCTTTTGACCTATTTTTCGAAGAGTGACCTTGATATTTTCCCCACTGAAAAATGCAATTTTGTCTGATGACGATTATAGCCTTATCAATTGTCATTCATATGCGAAAATAAAAAAAGTGGATATCGCCCTGCATTGACCTCAGGTCAGGTCATTTTTATGACCTGTCCATTATTACGAGCGGGAGTGACAACGAGATCTCGAGAATAAAGCAAGATAGCGACAAGCGGTAAACGGTGCAGGGTACAAATGGATAAGGTCTATAATTTTAACTGAGGTCATTTTCAGGTCAGGTCAAAGATGACGTCACAGGAGCAAAAAGGAAGTCAAAATTGCGGCACTACATATATATGAAGTTTTTCTCGAATAACTTTCAAGGTATCCCAGCTAGGAACAAACTAATATCACCATCGTGATCCTCTCGTCGATCCGCATCGAAACATATGTATGTTGACCTCGAAAGGTCGAAAGGTCAAAAGTTGACCCTAGGTCACGTGACCTAAGGTCAACTTTTGACCTTTCAATTTTTCGAGGTCAACATACATATGTTTCGATGCGGATCGACGAGAGGATCACGATGGTGCTATTAGTTTGCTCCTAGCTGGGATACCTTGAATGTTATTCGAGAAAAACTTCATATATTTAATGCCGCAATTTTGACTTCCTTTTTGCTCCTGTGACGTCATCTTTGACCTCACCTGAAAATGACCTGAATAAAAATTATAGACCTTATCCGTGTGTACCCTGCACCGTTTACCGCTTGTCGCTATCTTGCTTTATTCTCGAGATCTCGCTGTCGCTCCCGCTCGTCACGTGACCGAAGGTCAACTTTTGAACTTTCGACCTTTCGAGGTCAACATACATATATTTCGATGCGGATCGACGAGAGGATCACGATGGTGCTATTAGTTTGTTCCTAGCTGGGATACCTTGAAAGTTATTCTAGAAAAACTTCATATATATGTAGTGCCGCAATTTTGACTTCCTTATTGCTCCTGTGTCGTCATCTTTGACCTGACCTGAAAATGACCTCAGTAAAAATTATAGACCTTATCCATTTGTACCCTTCACCGTTTATCGCTTGTCGCTATCTTGTTTTATTCTCGAGATCTCGCTGTCGCTCCCGCTCGTAATAATGGACAGGTCATAAAAATGACCTGACCTGAGGTCAACGCAGGGCGATATCCACTTTTTTTTATTTTCGCATATGAATGACAATTGATAAGGCTTTAATCGTCATCAGACAAAATTGCAACTTTCAGTGGGGAAAATATCAAGGTCACTCTTCGAAAAATAGGTCAAAAGGTCACGTGATCAAAATTTTCAAAAATTGAAAATCCGAGATAGCCAAAATGTTTGTTGGCTGATTGTGAGTTGAACCATATAAAGTTTTTATCGTAGAAAACCAATAGTTTCTGAGTTATAGGCCGCCAAACATGGGGCTGCAGCGCGACCTGCTGGAATTGCCCGAGGCTATATCTCGGAAACCGTTGTTCGAAGAAAAAAATCCTTGCCACAGCTGGCTTCCCCGCCCATCACAACCCCTTACACCAGTTTTCAACGAAAAATAAAATATGAGGGTGCAAATTTAATTTTTTATTTGTCGATTTGTCGTGGAACGCCCCAACATCGTTTCTTCTTGTGTGGAGTATGGCACAACTCCACTCTATTCGCGATCCGGATCGTGTATTGAATGCTGCTCACTGGCTATTACTGACATGGATGGCGTTTAAACAACACCTTTTTATCATCTACTCGAGATTTTAATGTGGACATTACGATAAGCACCACTTGAAGGTGCTGAACTTGACGTCAGAACAGTCTTCATTCTCGTGTAAATAAGACAGGTGGCATGACTGCCTCCCATTATAGTTACTGGGTGTCGCACGACATGTCTAGGGACGGTCGATACAATATGTGAAGTAGGTGTCAAGTCGTTATGAAGCGTTTAGTTGAGAGCATCGTCGCTTCAGTAGTACGATGCCATTCTGATATGCGAATGTGGTACTGTCAGCGTGCTACGAAGTTGTGCTGAGCATTTGCAAAGTAGTCACAACAGTGCTCATGTATTTATAGCTGACTACCACTGTGAAGTGTCGGCATTACTCATGTGATAGATGGACCTGTGCTGTGTGCCTGTGTGACTTCAGTTTAGACGGCAATTTGTCATAGCCAAGTGTCTACAATGTCTATAGCTGAACATGAAAAATGCAAAATGACTTATGGCGGTTATGCATCATGTCTCTCAAAACAATTCTTTAAAGTGGCCCGAACTTTGGTGATATAATGTGACGTGATGGGTCATCAGTTCACCCCGCAGCTATTTGTTGCCCATATTAGTCCTTCACCATGTGGTCCTTGTAATGCTCGCCACCCCAGTTGCTGCCCTCCCAGCCGACTAACTCCTTCCCGTCTTTGCCCACAGGAACTCCGTAAGGTTAGCCATCCGGAAGATAATGTACGCGCCGTCCAAGCCCGGCGAGCAGCCCTCTGTGGAGACCAGCAAGGAGTTCATGATGTCGCCCAACAAGCTACACCTGGAGGCGTCTCTCGACAAGGATATCTACTACCACGGAGAGCCCATCAACGTCAATGTGCACGTGCAGAACAACAGCAGCAAGACTATGAAGAAAATCCGCGTGTCAGGTGCGTATCGGTCGGGTGGTGGGTGTTGGTAGGCTTGGGTGGGGTGGGAGAATGAGTGAGATGCTTTGCTGTCTTGGTTCTAGACTGGTGACGGTTACGTAAGCTCATCGGGTATGTATGTCGGTTTTGCATGTTGTCTCTTATTCATGACTGCTATAAATGGCAAAAACATTGGGTGGGGGGTACCTAATGGTCATGTGGAGAATAGTGATGGTGCGTGACGAACGTCCCTCCCTGTTCCCTGGGCGAGATGTACTGCGCTCCACGGTCATACCCTGAGCCCACTGTCTGCCCTCAGTCTGATATGTACCTGTTGATTCTAGCCAGTCGGCTGTACTTCTGGCCGAGACAGCTCGTAGCCTCATAGAATCTCTTCTCCAACCCCAGTCCTTGGCCAGTGTTGCCGTCAGTGTCTAGCATCGTTACCTATACCATGATGGTGTGCGCTGAGGGTAGCAACACAGCTCGCTCATGTCCTTCCCTTTCCTCGCACCAAGCTCTAAGGACGCGCCGCATCGCGCGTCGGAGCGTCGGTGTGAGGTCATTGCGCCATGGCAGTGTTAAATGTCCCATTTCGGAGGCCGACCGCCGACGTAATCTTGCCCAGGCGCTCCCAAGGGTGTCGTGAAGCAGCGGTGGCATCGGCGGTGGCGTGGTGGTGGCGACGGTGGTTTAGCTGGGGGGGGGGGGGGGGGTCGAGGTGGCGGTATCGCCCTCACTACGACGTGTTGATGTTGCTAATAGTGGTTGGATTGGAAAGGTCATTTCGTTGATATGGGGTTTGACGTTTGTTGCATGTTTGTGTCAAGCTTCGTGTTTGTTTCATATGTATAATAGGTGTGTTTTGGTGTCTCCTTATTTTGGAAGTGCTTAGAGCTTACCGCAGGCACGTTGACCATAACAATGTTCAGGTGTGACTGCATAGTGCACAGGGACCACAGGGTGCTGCTTCTTTCACACATCGCATAAGCACTGCTTATGTGCTCCTGCTTAAGTGTTGAGCACTGCTTATGTGTTGTCATTTTGTGTGGAATATGAGTACGCCGCTGATTAAACAAACAAACAAAGGGCTTCAGTTATATCACACTGGAAACGCTGGGCCACAATATGATCGCTAAGCCCTTGAGCTGCTTTTCGTGTGTTGATTTTACCGAAATGCAGCCCCTGTTTGTCGTTCTAGATGATAGCTTTACTGTAGAGCTAGTTTTAGCAGAAATATACTCAGCTTTGGCCTCAGCTTGAGTTTCAGAGTTCATGGAATGAAAGAAATCAACCGGCCTTGGACGATCAAACTGAATCGTTCCTAAACACTTGAGGGCTTAGCGTAAGCTGATGGTCCGCCTTCTCAGTCCTGTTTATTTTGAGATCATTGTCACGTTTGCCCACGTCTGCCTTTGAAGTTGGCGAGGCTATCGCGTGGGGTCTCTTCTGACCTGTCCTTTGTTGCCAACGCTCTGCTTGTTTGGTGTGCCTGATGGTGATGCATCAAATCCAAACATTGTAAGTCATTGTGACTGTCATTGCCTACCTGTTTGAGTCACATTTACGACGATGTGCTTGATTTGAATCTCACTTGGCCTGTTACTGTGGTTTCGGTCTGTTACCTCGATGGCGGTTTTACCCCTGACGCCAGTTTTGCCTAGCCTCCCTTCTGACGCTGTGTAATGTGTGTCTGATTTCAGTTTACACTAGCATCCCGTTGTGACGCTGTGCGGTGTGTGTCTGATTACAGTGTTCTGACGCTCTGTGGTGTGTGTCTGATCACACTTTTACCTAACATCCCTGTCTGACGCTGAGCCATGTTGCGTCTGATTGCAGTTCGCCAGTTTGCCGATATCTGTCTGTTCTCGACGGCGCAGTACAAGTGTTCTGTCGCAGAAGTGGAATCAGAGTGAGTATTCTGACCACTTCTTGGTCGGTCATCCCCTACCCAAGTCA